TTGAAAGCCTCATCCGGCTGTAGTGATGCCGACTTATTATTTATGGTGAAAAGATTTTTCTTACTCGGAGCCTTTATCTTTCGAATTTTCGGCCGTAAGAGCCGAAAAGTGACCTTGTTTGTTCGCCAAATAGGATGCCAGTTTTCTCAACTGTATTCAATTGGTGGGCGTCCAATTGATCTTTATGTTAGGCTTTTCTAACTGAACTATCTTTGACAAAAGCCATTTGTTTTTAATTAGATATTAAGCCAACTAGGCGGACACAGTGGGTTACATCTCTACAAATAATTAGCTTGGCTACTTCGCTTTAAAGTTGGAAGCTCTCAAAGTAAACAAGTAGTTTCCCATGTTTTGACTACATATAACTCGCGCTGATTAAAACACAAGAGAGCTTTATTTCTATTTTAGTTAAGCTATATATACAAATATACTATTTACAATATAAAATGAAATGAAATTGTATTTATATATAAATTTTGGTGCAATGGGAAGACTCTGATGCTTCAAGCAGTCTACACATGGATACATATAGACAACTTAAATGTTCTTCTTCGTCCCTTGATGTTGTCAGACAGACAAAGAGACGGACGGAGAGACATATTTTGAGACAGCTACGCAGACTGACATACAAACAGATATATAGGCAAACAAAAATGCAATACGCTGAGCTAAGGTGCATGTTAAATGCAACAAGGCTTATTTTTCGCTTTGAGTAACAAGCAGAAATCTGTTGACTAGGGACTAGTCCATATAATGGACTGCGAGGAACGTGGTCGTTCAACTGTTTTAGTGACAATAAAAGCCCGCAAGTGAATCAATTGCAAGGTACAATCAATTGTCAGAGTCTAGAAGGTGTAAAAAATCCAATTTATATTTATTCGCTCACGGCGACTTCTGGATGCTCGGCTGAGACTTGCCAGCAGCCTGAGGCGCACAAAGTTGCCTTTCAAGCTGCTGTCAAAGTTTTTTGTGGACTTTAAAAAGTGTGCTTCTTTGCGAGATGAGGCTGGAGATGGGGATGAGAGTCGAAACCCACTTGGGCAAACAACTCGTTCGAGCGGCTGTTGACACTTACCCCTGCCCTTGCCCCTCAGGACTACGTTATGTATACGCCATTTACATAGCGCAAATTGCAAATAGACGGCAAATTAATTAAATATCACTCATACGTCAGGTATTGCGTAGGCTGAGCTGCCGCAGCTGCTTCTCATGGCGCATGATTTGCAAGTACAGGAAATTCATGTCAGACCCCTTACACTGCGCTATCTCATTGTCCAGCTGCTGCCTTGTGGCACGCGCAACATGTGGGCGCTGCTTGGCGTAATGCTCGTGTTGCATGCAGCGTGGGCAACACCGGTGGCTACAAATAGAAATTAAATATAGGAAGTTAATCGGACGAATTTTCTCTGAGCTCTTCAGCTCTAAGCTCAAGGCGGATCTAAGGCTTGACCTAGTTCAGAAAAATGACACTCTAGAAGCAATTGTGAGTGAAATCTTAAGGCGTAACAAGGGATATGTTTCTTATAGCAAGCGCTGGTCCTTATATAAAATAATCAATGACTTCCCGCTTCAGTGTTATCGATTTAAATCGTTGCTTAAATTTAGCCTTCTTGTCTTTTTTTAAACGGTATCAAAAATTAAACAGCATAAGGCTCCCTATGAAAAAGTTTGCATTTTTGCTGGGTTGTTTGAGTTCGATTAGGTTGCACAGGGTGATCGGGATACGCTGGTGACAACAATGAGCAGAGATATATTCAAGCATTGGGAAGTAACTAATAATCACTGAACTAACAATTGCATTAGACCCAAAATTGATTTTACTTTACTATTGTAACAACTGGCGTATAGACTGCACTGTTAACGTGTTCCATTGTTGACGCTCTCCGAATATATCGCGTCCATTAAAATGGCTATGGGTAATGCCAAATTTTTATACCCTGAACCCATTTTCAATGGGAAATCAGGGTATAATGGTTTTGTTGAAATGTATGTAACAGGCAGAAGGAGGCGTGGCAGACCCCACAAAGTATATATAATCTTGATCAGGGCGACGAGCTGAGTTGATTTGGCCCTGTCCGTCTGTCTGTCCGTCTGTCCGTCTGTCCGTCCGTCCGTCTGTCCGTCTGTCCGTCTGTCCGTATGTATGAACGCGTCGATTTCAGAAGATATAAGAGCTAGAGACTTCAATTTTTTTTTTAAATGTCCGTAATTACAGCGCGCATATCAAGTTTATCATTAAAAATCGATAACTCATCCCGATCTTTTTTTATCGATAAAAAACCTTATCGAAAACCAGTTATAAAATTATATCTCCTACACCTTTATTGCTAGAGTCTCCAAATTTTTAATGTATGCTTATATGCAATTTATACAATTTCGGTTTTTGTTAAAATTTACCCCCCACCTCTAAATTCACCCCCTCACCCTCACTTTTGTAAAAAGCGTATTTCAAATACTAGAGAGTTGTGCTTTGGCAATTACATGCATATTCATGTTATAATCATAATCTAAAAGTTTCATGAAGATCGTACGTCCATAAAAAAAGTTATTAAACAATTAAGTTCACATAGTAAGCGCACACTGCAGCCCATGCGTGTTTATGCGTGGTTGCTTGTATGTGTATGTGTGTGTGTGTATGCGTTTGTGTATGTATGCGTGTGTGTGTGTATGTGTGTCTGTATGCGTGTGTGTGTATGTATGCCTGTGTGTGCGTACGTGCGTGTGTGTGCGTGTTTCTTGTGTAAGCTGAAAGTCGCGAAAAAGTATTGAAATATCTATTGCTCCAAGGGTTCAGGGGATCTCGTAGTCGAGCAGTCTCGACTAGAGCTTTCTTACTTGTTTATTTTTATTTTTCAAAGAAAGTACAATTAATTACAATACTCAGTTACGACTCCTTCTGCCTGTCAGACTCATTTAATCAAAATCATTTTATAGTCGATTCACATTTTTCCGTTGTAAAAATATAATAAGATAGGAATATCCATTGAATATTCCAATCTTTGACTTCGATGCATTTTATGCACATTCGCGAGTTATTGGATTATATGTGGTATCTGCCTTTGGACATACTGGTGTCGTAGTGCGGAAGGGACACAGCGGTGATCCTGTCAGGCATGCAAAGAGAAGGAACGTTCCCTCGGCTGCAGGTGCGGTAAAGACCACTAGCATGGCCACCAGCGTCAAGTAGATGAGGAGTTTGGGAGACATCGTAGTATCTGCTCGTCGTCTACTGTTGCTTTGAAGTGTCTGCTTATCCAGACTCAACTATATTTATACTATTTAGCTTAACGTCGAAGTTAATTCAATCTAACGTAATTATTTGCTGGGTTGTGCAAAATATTTACTCAAATGGGATTATGTATTTCCGCTTTGAGAGCAATAAAACCCGTATTATTTGAAGTGCGACAATAAGTCAACATTAATGGCAAGTATTACCTCAATTCATTTCCCACTTCGATTTCATTACTAATGAATATAAATTAATTGTTACCTATTTAACTGCGGATTCTTAAAGGGAATAATCGGAATTGTTGTTATGTATATATATATGCCATAGCTCGTCGTCTTCGGTGGTCGACGTGATATAAGGAATCGCCTAAGTTTATAGTGAAGGGAATTACATAATGAATAAAATGGAAATGCGGAATTAATTGGTTAAATATTTATATTGTCGCGACTTTGTGCACTCGATTGCACAATTTGCTTGTGTTGCTTTTTGTTTTCATACAAAGTATTGCCAGCGCGTGTCATTAGTGTAAATAAAATGAATGAGAGTGGACTCTAGACGTATCAATAAAATAAACTATAAAACACTATTCGCATCCTATAAATAGGGCGACGAGCTCTAATATAACTCACTTCATACGGCAGAGCTGATCTGGAATATCTACAACGATGTCTCCCAAGTTTCTCCTCTATTTGGCAGTCGTGGCGGCTTTAGTGATATTCAGTGCACCCGCGGCAGAGGGAACGGTATTCCTGTCATTATGCCTCCTGAGATCACCTCTGTGTCCATTCTTTACTACTACTCCACAGTGCCTTGAGGGGAAAACTTGGAGCCCAGTTACCAAAATTTGTGGTTGAAGAATATTACGTCAACAAAATTCGTTAGCGAATTATAATTAAGTTGAAGTCGTCAATAAAATTATGAAAAGTAATTTCATGAACATTAATATGCGGTTCTGTTTTATATAAGGAATGAAGTTTTGCATTCAGACGGAGCCGTCTGGAAAAAATGTATTTACTTTACATCCCTCTGTAAAGGCGATCCACCCAAGTATATCTGTAATGCCTCGTAGTTCTAGCTATTGGTCTGTGAAAGCTCCATTCCGATCTTCGTCAGCCTCCCCAGCGCAGCTATATATTTTTCAAATCTAGATGTACTTGCCATATATATTGAGGCACTGACTGAACCGTTAAGCTCCAGCTTTAGCTTTAGCTCATAGTTTTAAGGATATTCTTTAACTACTTACTACTGCCGCATCAATTACTACTTGTTAGATAGAAGCTTAGCTAATATAAGATTCTGGTACTTGGTAACCAACCGCACGTGCTGTTCTTTGATGACAAAACTCAAGTACATTGTTGTGGTTAGACAAACGCTCTGAAATGAAGAGCTGAAAAGCAGCTTTCTCACGGGTGAACAATCGGAAAGGACTCTAAACATGTTGCTGAGCAGCGAAATGAGTTCAGAATCATTAAAGCAGCTGCGAAACGTGTCCGTCCATTGCGAGGCTATGAATGAAAATGCGAGCTATTCACGAAATATCAACAGTTGCTCAATAATGAATATAATCCACAGCTGTTACACTGGAGTCCCGCATAATGTGCACGCCTTCGCCTTCGCTTGTGCGGTTGGCAGCGACTGCGCAGTGCGCATCGAGCACAGTCACACGTGGTGGACTCCATTTACCGTTGGTTTCATGTGGATGGTAAATTTAGCGCGCTTTTGGTGCGGCTGCTTCGTGTGGATTTCGTTGGGCGCCTCGCACTCGGGCGCCGGCTTTTCGATTTAGTCCTGCAAACGGATTCGTTCCAAACGGTCGCTGCTCGCTAGCCGAACGTGAAGCTACGCCAAAAAAGAACTGAAATACTGAAGCAAAGTTTATTGGAAATACAAAAACATAAATAAACACAAATTTATACTGAAAACATTTCGATAGCGCGTGCCGAAAACAAAATATTTGCTCTACTTTCGATTTGTGCCGCATTCCGTTGACGTCTGCCCCGGCCGACTAGTGCTTGAAAACGAAGAGAAACATCTGAGAAATCAAAGGAGAAGACTTCTGAATTGACCACTGGCGCTCTGTTTATTTTTGCATCATCTGCAGACATCTCTGCGGGAGTTTTGTTGTAAGTTGCAAATGTATTTTCTTTTTCCATTCGAAAGGTGCCGGCAGTCGGATGCACATAAATCAACAGTTGCCGTCAATGGCGGTGATTTTACCGAAAGGCTTCTGCAAATATTGGCGTATTTGCTTAGCCTGGCTTAAATCGTTTCAGCATCAGCTGCCGGCTACACTTTTCACATATTGTTCAGTGCTCACCGAGCTTTAAGGACAAAGTTGCTTTCTAAAGAAAAAAAAAAAAAAAAAAAAAAAATTTCAAGCAATGTGTTAAAATTTAGTTAAAACATCTTTGAATATCGACACATGTTTTTGTTGTCATCTAAGAAAAAATAAAAAGTACATTTTAAGTGGATTACCATAAATCTCAACTGGCTTTCACTCTATCTTCACAGTTAAAGTTTTGCTTTAAAAAAAAATCTGAGTTGACACTCAACAAATATTTATGCTGAAAATATGAGGATCTTTTTATTATATTACATGTTCGATTCGACATTTATTTTAATAATACATTTTTTTGTCTATTGGCTTACAATTACTTAATTATGTCATTTAATTCAATAATTAAAATTTGTTATAGTTTTTGCTTTTTATTATTTTTTAAATTCTATTAAATTGTTTTTGTTTTTAATATTTGCATTTTGAAGAAACAAATTCACAATTGTTGATCCCGGCCTTATAGCCGTTGTGATCTAAGAAACGATGATAATATATAATAGTATATCTATACTACTGTACGTAAGCCCATATGGGCGTGACAAGTAACAATTGTAATTTTTACAGCTTTGGAGTGTGAGGGCTAGGTACATAATATTAAATTAGATTTGATAAAAAATATAGGTTTTTATAGATTTACAGTACAAAATTCATGATGGTAACGAATAATTTATTGTTGATCTCTTAAAAATGTGTCACGAATTTGATATACAGTAGAATCCGGTTATAACGACTCCGCTTAAAGCGTCCAACCGGTTATGTTGACGAAAATTCGATGTCTTGGTTGGTCCCCATACAAACTCACATGAAAGAGCCTCCGCTTAGTACGTCTCCGCTTTTAACGACAATCCGCTTATGCCGACGATTTTTTTCATATTTTTGAGTCAATCACCGGTTATTACGACGTGATTAAAAAAAAAAATCGCGAAGTAATGACAGCAAATTTCAGCATAAAAAGACTCTGTTAGAAATGTATACATGTATGTTTTGATCAGTGATCAGTACCCTTACTTGTGTGCGTAGCAACGCCACAAATGCTGCTAAGACAGAGAGAGGGAGAGAGACAAAGTACAACGCCGACGTCACAAAAATGTTTCTAAACCATGTTATTGAAAGAAGTTTATAAAAAATGGTTTTGACTAAAAATTTAAATTGTTTTATAGTAAAAGCAACATGGCAACCGTAAAAAAAATGAAAAAAAAAAATAAAATATTTTTTTACTCTTTCTGGTTAAAGCGTCCTCCGGGTATAGCGACGTGAAATCGACGGTCCCTTGAGTGTCGCTATAACCGGATTCTACTGTATGTACGTAATAAGATATAATAAGAAAGCCCGGCAAGCGTTGCTTTGCCTCTAGCGAATGCTTATGTGCCATGGTTCATCCCAGATAATAATTTTACACTGTTTCAGCACAGTGGCCATGGATGATTGTTTTGTAATGTTACAATCTGCATCTGGATTATTAAGTAAACTTGGCCTTTGATTTTGAATGTGGAATTAAATTGTTGATTATTTGCAGCTGTATTTTCAATTATTTCCGTTGCTCCAAACGATCTCATTTGAAAACATGAATTGAATTTTCGAATTGACTGCAAGAACAGTAAAGAGTCTGAATAAGAAAGCCGTGCAATTCCGGCGGTGTATCAATTTCCATGAGTTTTACTTTTCCTGATGAGCAACACATCCCGACCGGCTCATTTTTAAATTTAAGGGCATTTTTAAATTTAATGTACCAATGACCACTTTGGAATGAGCGTAATATTCCACATCAGGCTCATACTGAAATGCTAGGTGAAGAAATGAATGTGAGGTTAATGCTCGAAGTACTTGTTGATGTTGTCAGTCAATTCCTCTACGGCTGTTGACTACGAATCTGCGTGCTTCTCTTCGCTCTTATTGTTTTCCTGGTTTCGCTCATTTCGTGCCTCTTTCAATTATGATGCACGTAACTTCGCCAGGCTCACACGGACATCTGCGTTGCTTTGTTGCCGTTCTTCATCTGATCTCTGTGCTCTGCTATCTTGCATGCCTCTAGGTTTGAGTGTGCGACGACTCAAATTAGCCACCTTGCGTTTTCGTGGTATTGTTGTCTGTTAGTCAAACATAAATAAATCAAGTTGAAAAAGTGTTTGGTGATAAACAGGGACGTAATATTGTATTCGATCGCTCATTATTTGATTTACCTCTACACGTATATTTTTTAATCACGTTCACGTATTAATAAAATGTTTAATAATTGATTAACATGAGAGCATGACCGAAAACTGTCACTGTTATCAAGCCTACTGAGTAAATTCTCAATAACAATGCAAAGATCCTCAATAGCAATCATTGCTTCATTGTACATTGCGTCACTGAATTAAATCGTAATTTCGTTGCATCAAAAAAAAAAAAAAAAAAAGACACTGCAAGACTACGAGATCCTCTGAACCCTTCGGGCGACAGATATTTCAATAGTTATTCTCACATGCACACACTCACTCACACACGCAGACATACGCACGCACGCATGAACACGCATTGGCTGCAGTGGTGGTTTACTATGGAAACTTAATTGCTTATTAACTTTTCCTGTGGATGGACTATCTTCATGAAACTTTCAGATTATGAATATAACATAGATATGCATTAATTTGCCAAAGCATAAGTCTCTAGTATTTGAAATACGCGTAAATATAAGGGAAGTGGGTAAATTTTGAGAAAAAAACGAAGTTCTATAAAGTATATTTGAATCTACATTTAAATTTTGGCGACTCTAGCTTTAAAGATGTAGTCGATATAAATTTATTACTGGTTTTCGATAATATTTTTAATCGATAACAAAATAAAGGGGCAAGTTATCCATTTTTAAAGCAAACACATGGACCTAGGAAAACAAATTTCAAGGACAGACGGACAGTGCTAAATCAACTCAGCTCGTCGCCCTGATCAAGAATATATATACTTTGTGGGGTCTGCCACGCCTCCTTTTGCCTGTTACATACATTTCAACAAAACCATTATACCCTGATTTCCCATTGAAAGTGGGTTCAGGGTATAAAAAGAATGCCATTATTTAAAGAAGCTTTATATTAAAACCCAAGGGCAGCTCCATCGCAGTTGCAGGGTTAGGAGAATCTTCTATTCGAGTAGCCTTGACTAGGGCACTGCTATGTACTTGCTTATGTCGTTGTATTTATTGTTATTATCCAATTCTAATCATTTTAGTTTTGCTTACATTTAAACAAAAGTTTTTAGACTCATTCACGACAGTGAATGTACGTATGAACGCAGTTTACTTTGGCGCTATTGAAGCTAGAGACATGAAACTTGAAACACATACTCGTGTATATCTCCGATCTATAGTGCTAAAATTTTCCCAATTCGGGCAATGCATTTTCCGACATGCCATAAATTATATTAGTAGAAGAGAATGTAGATTCGTGCTGATCACCCAAGACTAACAAGCTATAGTGGATATATCTACGACCATTGGGGGCGTGGCAAATGGGATAAAAGTGTATTTCCTAGAGTTTTGAAGCTAGCACGTGAGCTAATGTTATGATTCTATATAGATATGTGATTTTTCAAATTTGCTATATTTTGGACACTATTGATGCTAGAGACCTAAAATTTGGTATATATACTTGGGTTGACCACCCAAGACAAAAAAGCTATGGCAAACCGCAAAAGCTTATGTCTCCCAAAATATAGGAGCTAGAAGCTTGAAATTTGGATAGTTGAGTTACTGGTAACCTCCTCTATCGATGACCCAAAAATAATTGTTACGCCCTTTTAAGGGTGTGGCATATCGAAAATACCCTATAATTTTTTAATTTTTGACGCGTATGCATCCAAATCTCTCTCGGTTACTGTTAGCTCGTTCTAAGAACTGGCCAAAAATGAGGTGTATACGCGCAGCAGGGGCGTGGCAATTTGGGAAAAGCTGCTTTTTCTACAGTATTGGAGCTAGAAACTTAAAACTTAGCTACTAAATTACTGATGGGATGTGAATGAGTATTCTCCAGTTGGTAACGCCCAACGGCAACGTTCTTGTTTTGTATATGTATATCTAAACGTTCTCTAAGTAGATTTCAATTCAATTTAGTTTATTTACTGTTTTTCAAAGCAGGAAATAAATAAAATATATAAATATTATTTCTATTTGTACACCATTTACATATAGTTTAAATTACATTATGTTCGTGTATGTATTATTCGTCACCTTTAGGTGCAAGGGAATCTTAAATCTGGTCCTTAAATTCAATTTTAAGTTGGTGTTCCGCTCTGCATTATTTCCTCAAAATGCGTATCGCGAAATGAAATAAATGGAATTCTTTGCATCTTTTTGCATAGAGATAAACGAGCGCGAAAACCTCAGATAAGTTTGTTTTGAGGCCAGAGGCAGCTGCCTAAAGTCGGAGCAAATAAACACTCGAATTGTTGTAATTAAACGGAGTGAAAGCTGCCAAATTGAAATTGTTGCCAGTGGCCGAGTGCCACGCCCATATTGCCAAACGGCCCCGCGGAAAGTTCAGTCGAGACCGAAATCGAATTCGCGGCAAATGAGATGCCCGGAATTAGCCTGAGCCAAACCAATCAGTCACTCAGTCGAATGACTGCCGCTGCTTCACTTGCTCAATCAGTTTGTCAATCGACTTGTCAATCAGCGCCCCAGCACGGCCCACATGACTGTGCTTAAAGTCAAAAGCATTTGTGGCCAATTAGCGTGCGCGCCATCACTACCGAGCGCGAGTGGGCCGCGCACCCTTTCTCATTCGTTTACCCGCCCCTCACCTTGCACCGGCTGCAAATTTGCTTAATTAATGTTTCCCTCCGTTCTTTCTTTACTCGGCCTTCTCTTGCTCCTTTTTCACCTTTTTGTTTCATAATTGTTGCGTATGCCGCGGACTAGCTGGAAATCATCACGTTGCAGCATTCGCTCCATTTGATGACAAAAGTTGTGTGTTTACGCAATCATCCCAATGCCAGGACGGTGTCTAATTAATGTCACTCACTCACTCGTCGCACGCGTGCGACTGATAAGAGTGTATTTGAGAGCCGCCAAGTCTCTACACTGTTATTCTCACGCACTCCTTTAGCTTCTTGAGCAGGATTATTGATAATAGATTCGTAACAACTGACACGAGTCTGACTGTCTGTCAGGCCTATTTACGCTAAAATTCAGATATATGTAAGTCGTGTGATAATAAAAAGTAAAAATTGCACGTGCTAGTAAAACATTTTCTGAATTACAATTTCCTCCAGTAAATAATCTTAGGTTGTTTTGTCTCTGAATCTAGATTACAAGTATTTCTAAGCTTAAGCCCCAATTTTCCACTTTGGCATAATTGAATTTCCAAGTGAACAATTCTGATGCTTGTCAATGTGAGAATTATGGGACTGCTTTAACTACATTTGGCTGCTTTTGCTTATGCTCTTCATTTTTAGTTTTTACAGCAGCTTAAATTGTGGTGCACAATATTGATCTATTATTAAAATTCTTAATTTTTTATGTTTTTTAAAAGTAGTCGGACATCGCATTCTAAAGTAGAAAGTGAAACGTATTGGAAATATCTATTATAAATTGCAAAGATATATTTTATCTATTGGGTAAACACCAGGAAAAAGTCCCGTGCTTTACTCTATGCTCGGGTGCTACTCGATGGGTCCTTACAGGGCTTAACATACTTGCTCCAGAGTCATTCCACATTTGCTGAATTTGAGGTTTGAGCTGTACTGTCTATTTTCGTAAAATACTCGTCTTTTATACCTAATATGAGAGTCTTAATACCATTTCCAGCCACTGGAAGGTTACATTTTTCACGCACACTAGATTGTCTGAGCTGTTGTCTAGGTTCAGGTTACATTTTCCTTAGCCGCTGCCATAACTAAGGGATGACTTGGCTTCAGATAACGCAGAGGCTATCGAATATTATTTATATGCTGGGCGCATGACATGCTCATGCTTGAACTCTCTTTCCACTAAGTTTTCCTAGTTGTTCCACAAATTTGAACGAGATGTCTTTTCTAACACATGTCTGTCAGATAAATCACAATATATATTTATCTCTTAAACTGCTTTAAAAGATTTTCAATTTAATTTGTTTCAAATTTTATTAAAAAAAAATCAAAACCAATTGCTGAAATAATATCAATGGTTATACGAGCAGAGGAAAATGCGATTATTGATAGAACTCATGAACAGGTAAAATATTGATTATTATTTCAGAGCAGATGCCAAATATTCATTTTAGATAAGGGCACTTCGAATTCAGCTACCCTGCTCTCTTGACTCCTCCCGCCTCCATTTCATCTTGTACACATGATTACCCTAGACAAATAGGTATAATGGAGGATTCGCTGACTGTTTGGCGTTCCGCTGCGGAAAACTTTTTGCGGGTAATCAAATTGTCGCAGCGCACGTGGCGTATACGTAACGTCATAATATGCCCATAGGGGCAAATTTATATTTTGTGTTCGCGCTTGACAATCATTTGATTATTTTCATGTGCGGCATTAAAACACTCACCCACACACACACGCACGCTCGCCCAGATCATTATTTGAATTTAGCTAAACATACATATATACATACATACTCTTATTTTGGGTTGGCAAATGTGATTAACATTAAACTCCAAAAACTTTGCAACCCTTTAATCTCTTGACTTCAGCTGCAAAATATTAGTATATATCACTGGCCTCGTCAATGGGGGCTCGAAAAGTTCTTCTGCTGTTGAGGTCAACTTTTGCCAAGCGAATAAACTGGCTTTAGCTTCTATTTTTGGATTATGTAATGATTTACTTCCTGAATCCGTTTCTGGGATTCGCCTGTATTATCAAATGTACACAAGGCATTAAAGTTGTACCTTTTCACCTGGCCTCTACAAAACTCATGTTTCGCAAAATAATTTACTCACTGTTGACATTTTGTCCGCAAGTTCTCGAAAGTTAAGTTCCTATGCTGACAGCTTAAACTTTGATGCACGAAATGATCCTTAATATTTTATATACACTCATCATAAATATTTTCAGGCCAGCAATTGCCATCCACACGCTGGGATTTGTCTCCAGTCATATTTGTTTGCTTAGTGACTTTCTCCACATAGCCTCAATACCAAAAATTAGTGCCACGAGTGAAATACCTCTGGGCTTTCCGGTAGTTTTAAATGCTTTCCTCACACACGCATACGCACGCACGCACTCACAGACACATGCATGCACATTACATCACACTCATCCA